GCAACAAAAACATCTGAACTCTGCAGGGCAGTGTCGCACGCCACTCCTGGAATATTTAAATGTCCATCACTAAACTGAACTTGTATCCTGCCGTTGCTGAAGGGATACCTTCCTGAAATCTCTCAGCTAGTTGACTGCCCTGAGTCCCCAAAGAATCCCGAGACACCGATGGATATCAGTTTTGACTGTAATCTCTGGTATATGTTCTTAAATAACTTCTTTGTTGGGCATCAAAAGGCTTTTCTCATTCTCACTGGATGGGCCCGCATGTGCCCCATTTCAGCCCCATGGGGCATGGGCTCCTTGTACCCCACAGGGGCCTCCAGAGGCTGTTTTAAGACGGTGGGCTGGCTCGTGCAGGCACACTAACAGGGCCAGGACGACATCAAAGGTAATCTTAAGAGAACCTGCTCTCTGCCCCCCTTTGTATTCAGAAAGGCCATTTCTAAGCCAACCACGTGCACCAGAGTTTACTTTGTTGTTATTTTTTCGCTTGTGATTACAATAAGTCACTTATCCCCCAAACGGATTTAAGAACAATAAACAAATACAAAAGGAAAAGGAACATTTCACTGGTAACAAAGCCTGCCTCTGAAGGCGCTGAGCTTTGTGACTCTCACATCTCTTTCCAAGCCAAGCAGGAGTCCCACAGAGAAAGGAATCCAGAAGATACGAAAATTATAAAGAGAGTAAAAGGATCCAGTTTTAGTCAGGATCTGGTAATTTCTGGGGAGAAATAGGGCTAACTGCACTCTTAGCACTGGATCCCTACTAATGCTTATTTTGTGATATAGCTAAAATTAGTTCAGTTTATCTGTTGTGGTGGAAGTTCGTAAATGGCATTCTCCTCACTTTTCCTGAACTCACAATGAAAATTGAATTGGGCAAAAACCGACCTGTGTGCAGCATTGGAAGCTGAAGGGGCACCGTGCTGACCAGTCCCAGAGAAGGACACCCTAGGGCGCTGCCCGCAGAAAAGTAACTTCTGGTGGACTCCCACACCTTTCTCAATCCTGGATTTTCCCTTCCAAGGCAGAGGCAGATACTAACACTGTGCAATCTGGCCCAATTATATTCCCCCCTTTTCTCCCCCCCCCCATAGGTTTAATGAAGGACTTGGAGGTACAATTCATCGTTGATAAATAGTCCCTCTGCCCAGAATGTTTATTAGACTGACAGCAGCATGCACTCTCCTTGCTTTTTCCCTTGCCACTTATGACTCAGATGAATTTTAATAGGAGCAAAAAGCTTTTATTTGCACTGTAATTTCACTTAAGGATCATATCCTTCAGAAACTGGCAGATGCTTGTATGTCTTGATTGCAAAACACACACTCAGGAGTAAAGAAACATGCAAAAGATGTTATTATTCAACCTGTCACAGTGTCGCAATTCTACTCGGAACCTAGGCCATCAAAGCTCTTCATCGGGGCCCTCCCCTCTCCTTTTAAAGAGGCCCTGCAAAGAGCCTACTTGGAGGTCTCGCTGCCTCTGTACAGAATCCAAGGGCAAATTGGATTTCGTCTTGGCGTCGCTGCCATCATGGTGCCCACAGGAGGCCTCGGGTTGCAGCAGCTCTCCTCAAAGCGGGCTGCCCTGGTGCCGCTGCCGCTCGCCCCAGAGGTTTGGTTGGTGGGAGTCCAGAAGTCTTCAGTAGCTCTTCCTCCAGCCATTTCTTTTCCTTTCCGTTTGGATGAATCAAATCAAAACGGATTCCCAGAGATAGGATTTTTTCCTGTCTGGTAGAAATTCTCTATTAGAAATGTTGAGTGGGACTGGACCCACTTTAATGTGCCTCCTACAAGAGGGGCCCTGAAACCCTTGGCTGTGCACATTGTGTGTGGAAAGCCTTGATACTCTGCCCCCAGCTGGGAAGGTGTTCTCCCCATCCTGTCATGGCAGAAAGACTGCGGGATGTGCTTAAAAAGGCAAGCTGACTTTTTCAGTTGCCAATGTAACATTTTATGCCATTGGAAAAGATCTGAATTTTAAAGATTGTTCACCCAAAACAAACACTGAAACCCTTTGTCTTAACTTGTGGGTGCACACAGTGCAGCGGCTCTCTGGCGGGTGCGGGAGTCCTGCGACAGCGATCTGCTGCCATCTACTGATGTGAGCTCACAGCGTTGCCGCCTCAGTCCTCAGCTGACCCAGCCCACCAGTCTGCCTTTCTCAGCACAAGTTTGTAAGCCGTGAAGGGACACCGGCAGATCCATACTTTTGTCTTTGTGAAGTGTTAAGATGTTTTTCTCAGGACTCCAGGATGATTATTATGTATTGCTAATTAAGGAGTTGTTTTTGTTTCAAGAAATTTCTTAGATGGCTGACTGACAGTAAGAAAGTATAAGAAGATGATGTATTTGGGTGTTATATACAAGGAATTTAAGCATGTGACTTAAAGGATATTGGAATTTTCCTTTAAAAGCTAAATCCTGATTTTAAATGAGTGCTGCTTTGGAGGAAAAGTTCATCTTTTAAACTCCTTACTTTTTTTTCCCCCCCTTGAGTACAAGGTACGTGTTTTAACCAAACTCGCTGCAGAATTGAACAAGTTTATGCTGGAAAAAGTGGCTGAGGACACAAGCAGCATCCTGCGTTCCCCGATGCCTGGAGTGGTGGTGGCTGTCTCCGTCAAGCCAGGGGACATGGTAAGGGCCATGCCTATCCCAGAGGGTCCTGGTTGCTCAGAATTACTCTCCATGACGTCACAACCGTGGCTGTTTTTCCTTGCCTTAAATGACCCCCACAAAATAGCAAAGCAGACCTTGTGAATTCTCCATCTCCCTGTTTGAGGTTTGACTGACTTAGTGACACAGCTCTGAGCACCGCCCCTCCCCAGTGATCTGGAGCTACAGCAGAAAGAAGGCCAGGTTTATTCTCTTATTTCCCAAATTCAGTGTGTCGAGAAGATTTTACTTAGAATTGCTATTTACTTTCCAGCACTTGTGCTTAACATACCCTTGAAGAACTCATGTTAAGAAACAGTCTTCTGCTGGGGGACTTCCTGCATGACTTCTGAAATAAACGTCTAGTTGGGAAGGAGAGTTAAGGGCAGGTCAACCCTGTAATCTGTATGGTACCAGAATGCTTCCGTCATTTGGTAAACAAAATGTAGGATCGCAGTTTGAAGTTTTTCATCTTGGCCTGGTGACACTAAAGCATAGATCAAAGCCATATTAACATTCCCTCACATGTGCAGTCCCAAGACAGCTCGCCCTGGATGACCTGGTAGGATGTATGCATTTCTTAAAGTATAGACAGAAATCTCTATTGATTAGCAGAGAAAGTGAAATGAAAACCATTTAAGATGCAGCAGAAGGTTTCTAGAGGCACTTAAGTACTTGCATTTTTATTTATGTGCAGGAAAGTAGCAGCCAAACATGACAGACTGTCATGGATGATAAGGCGATTCCATTTTATACCTCAGTGAAGTCATTGGGGTTTACATCTTTTCCTGTCAAGATTATACTAAAATGCCTCCAGATTTCTTTATTAATACAGGGAAAATATCCTCTTAACATTGAGGAAAACTCACGGAGTTGGCACTGGCTTCTAGAAAAGTATCTACAGAAAAGGAATATTAATAAACGTGATGAGGTTCATTCAGGTGTTTTAGGTGCACAGCCTGAAATTGAGATGTGGTGTGGCAACAGCTGTACCTGATGATACGGAAATAGAGCCCCTAGCTTTCTGGAAAAGCATCGGAGGCGAAGTGGCTGTGAATTGCTGCCCGTTTTGAAAGCATGGCTATTCCTGGAAGAAAGCACTGGCTAGGACTGACCCCGAGGGTTAGGAAGTGGGAGAGGTGATCCATGGGAATTACACGTGTACAGGGCAGTGTTTGCCTGCGTTCTGCTTCCCCAGGAGCGGACACGGAGGACGGCTCCTGGCCTCCATGCTAACCATCGCACATGCACACGCTCCATTGGCGGAGGAACAGGGGGCTCTTCTAAGGACTCATGGCAGGCCAGCACACAGTGTGCAGGGTGTCTGTTCATTTTCCTTCTTAAAGTTTTTCTGGAAGCTGTAGAGTATATACACTGCCCGTCTGAGCTTGTCAGTCCTGATTGTGTGGCTTTAATTTGAAAATCATATTTGTGCTTTTTTTTTTTTTTTAAGTAATGTGTTTATCTTAAATCCTTACTTTTCTAACACCCGAGTCCAAGCCTAAGCCGAGAGGCAGGGCAGGGAGGAGGGGCGTGCCACCTGCCTGGAAGCAGAGGGACAGGAGGTCGGGGTTATGGTGCTGGCCCCCCATTTGCCCAGCTTGGGGCGGCTCAGCAGGCAGGAAGCAGGAGCTTGCTAGGCCAGGCCAGCACAGCCTTCTTGTTTAACAAGTGCTGTCTCCTGGCCTAGCTTTTCCACATACCAAAGGGGTTTAGCCTTCATACTTTCCATTTCCTGGTTAATAATTTAATGTGGGAAAGCAAGGCATTTGGTGGAAGGGAACAATGTGCTATTAGTGTTTGCTTCATTGGGGTGGCTCAGATACTGAAAGCATCCACCCATAGTTAAATGTGGGTACTGAGAATGGTTTAATTTGAGGACTCATTGTTAGAAACGGTGTCACTGTGGAGCAGTGAGGCCTATATGACGTGTCCCTTAAAGTCAGAGTTCGTGGAGGCCACCCAGGGAAGTGGCGCGTCATCTCCGCATCCTGCATCCTCTTCAGGAATGCCCTTTTCCCATGTGTGCCCACGCGGTCAGGTGGGCATACGCTTCCTTTTATTCCTCTCTTTGGGTCCTTGCAGAACTTCTTTTCATATTCTGTGCCATTGTATTGGGATAAAACAGTCTTTACCCTTGAGTTACTATTATGAGTGAAGAATGTCCCAAACCCCTAATACTGAAAACAATGAGGGTGAAAAATTCAGCTCTTAAAGCAACTTCTATAGTTAAATTCTGTCTTGTGTAATTAAAACATAAGAAACTTTACTTGGACCAAAAGCATAGCACTTACTCCATTAGGCCATTATAAGAAAATACTACTTGTAGCTTTTAAGTTTTGTTGATTCAAATTATTTTAACCCTGCAGGGCACATTAGGTCTTTCTCAGAATATAACAAAAGCTGAGCAGGTTTCCACTCTGGTCAGTACGAAGATGATGCAATCAGTTACTCTGTGTGTTTTCAGGGGAATCAGGGACACAATACCAACCAAGGGCCTGCGAGCATTCCGTTTTACTCTGAAACATTATTTGTAATTTAACTTCCAGCAATCTATCATTTTTATGTGACCATTAGCAAAACTTGACACATATAGAATGGTGGGTCAGCAATAAGTTCTGCAAAAGTGACATAAACCATAAATGACGAATCTGTTTTGTGAAATGACCAATTGAGCAGTTTAAAAACCTTAGGAAGAAGAAACTTGGGCTGGCTGCTTGGACTTGAGATGCACCCAGACGTCTTGGTGTGTGGGGCCAGAGCCCGTGTTCCAGACATTCTTTCCGGGTTTGCATGGCAAAAGCACCTGATATTTTCAATCTCTGTGATTCACTATTTAACATTCAGTATGGCAGCAAAATCATTTTTACATGATTATTAAATTGGTTTTTCTTGACTATGGGGGCAGGAGATTTTAGGACAGTAAAATGCATAAAAGCAAACAAACCACAAAGTAGGACTATGATTATTAAAGTCATGATTCACAAATTTAAATCTGAAAATGATAGAATGACTTTTTTATGCCTTTTCTATATACTTTCTGAAAATGTTTTTACAGTGACATTTCATTTTGAAAAATACCTCTTTTTCATACAACACTATCATTTTAAAATATATATATCTTATATGCATGTATCATAAACTGAGAACACTTAATGTAATCAAAGTTAGCATTTTTTATAAATGTTTTAATTTTAATTTTAATTTTTTCTTTTTTAAGAAAGAGTGAGAGAGACAGAGAGAGAGAGAATTTTAATATTTATTTTTTAGTTTTCGGCGGACACAACATCTTTGTTTGTATGTGGTGCTGAGGATCGAACCCAGGCCGCACGCATGTCAGGCGAGCGCGCTACCGCTTGAGCCACATCCCCAGCCCCATGTTTTAATTTTTAAACTTGTGATATTCTTGAACAAAAATTTTCTTTCAGAATGAAGGCAGAATACACTTTTCCCATATGCTAACATTCGATGTACAGTTGCTACATTTATTGCATGATTTTTTTTTAAATTTTTTTTTTTTTTATTGTTGGCTGTTCAAAACATTACATAGTTCTTGATATATCATATTTCACAATTTGATTCAAGTGGGTTATGAGCTCCCATTTTTACCCCATATACAGATTGCAGAATCACATCAGTTACACATCCATTGATTTACATATTGCCATACTAGTGTCTGTTGTATTCTGCTGCCTTTTCTATCCTCTACTATAATTTTTTTTTTTAAAGATAGAGTGAGAGAGGGAGGGAGAGAGAGAGAGAGAGAGAGAATTTTTAATATTTATTTTTTATTTCTCGGCGGACACAACATCTTTGTTTGTATGTGGTGCTGAGGATCGAACCCAGGCCGCACGCATGCCAGGCGAGCGCGCTACCGCTTGAGCCACATCCCCAGCCCCTATTGCATGATTTTTATTTTGACTTTGAAGTGTAAAATAAAGCCATTCTGAGCACATTTGTATTGATATCAGGAAAAAAAAAAAAGAAAGAGAGCCAGCCCACTCGATATTTTAACTGCATTTAGTTAAGACTCTTCTGAGTTATGCTTGGGTTCTGCAGAAATCTCATATTTGCATTAGAGATATTCATCTTATTTAATGCATCAGAAAATTAAATGAGGCACAGCACATAAGAAGGCTGCATAGCTCATTTACATTTCTGTCTTCCTTAGTTGGTGACATTTGTTTGTGAATCCAGGTAAAATAATAGAGAAGCATTTAGTACCTGTTGCTGATTTTCATGACACTTAGCCCTGTTCCTGATAGAAAGACAGACTTTGGGATATTTTTGTGAGGCTGAGATGAGGAAGATCCCCTTTGTTTTGAGACTGACATTGAGCAGAAGGGCAATTAGGGATTTGGGATTGTTGCTCTCGAGAACAATGCCTTGGGCAAAAAATGGCATCCTCTGTACAGTGCAAACACTGCGGGATCATTAGTAGAACCACCCAGATTTCTCCCTGGCTCTTTCTCCTTGCATGTGTCCCTTCCAGGGGGGGTTCCCAGGCACATAGGTAACCACAAACCACAAGGCGCAGGGGCCCCACTGCACAGCCTGATGGACCACCTTCCCTTTGTCTCCAAAGCTCCTCCTTCAATAGAGCTTCAGGCTGACCTTGGGGAGTAGCAGGCAGATTTGGAAAACCTTTACTTTTCCTATCTTGAAGAAAGGCCATAGTTGTGAGGTATCTGGGTGAGAAGGGTTGGGTGGGGCCTGCTGGTGGGTGTGCCCATGCCACCAGCCTGGGTGCCTTGTCAGCCAGGAGCAGTGGTTGCATCTTTCTGTGGCAGAGGAGCGAGCCAGGCCGTTGGACAGATTTTTCAGTTTCTGGATAC